TTTTATTGATTACATTTTAAATTATTTGTAACATTTTCTCACTTTGTTTTAGCTAATTTTAGCTATAAAAATAAGATCTTTTGTTATAAAATTAAACTTAGTGTTTGAGAGCTTTAGACGTAAAATTTTGCTGAMGACAATTTTTAGTGTATTTTTTAAACATTTAGTTTGCAAAGAATTAAAATAAACTTGTCTAGACGACGTGAGAAGTGCATGAATCAATTGTTTTGAGGCATAATGTTTGTAATTTTAGTWTTATTGATCAGGTGTTTAATAGGAATAAGTTTTACTGGTTGGGGCTAAAAGACATGTCCCAGATGAAAGTCATCCCTAGGTTCTTTACGTTAGTGCTGGAGGTGAAGTTTCTGCCACTCAGAACAAATGAAAGCTTTGTTAGTCAGCTCCTGATTTCTCTTTTGACCAATTCTAAAGGTTTTCTGGAATCATTCAGCCTGTTTGCTTTGATTCAGTCCAAATAAATCTCCTCACCTGCCTGTCTGCAGAAAGAGAACCATGTTCCAGAACATCGTGAACGCCACAGAGCCGATGACGGACGAAAAGGAGGCCACCGCTTACATTTCCAACAACCCCATCAGGAAGGAAATTATCATGTACGTAGCTGATTTAGGCAGAAACACAGCTGTTGAGACGGGGGAAAAAATGTCTTTCCGCGAGAAGCTTGTGAAACAGCAGGACCTTGAAAATCATTAGCGTCTCTAGCAGAGCGTCTTCTTCCCTGTGACTGACTGACGGGTTCTCTCCTCCAGGGCCATGATGATGACAGGCTGCGACTTGTCAGCCATCACCAAACCTTGGGAGGTACAGAGCAAGGTGAGTGGGAGGGAAGTTTACAAGTAAATACAAAAAAATACACGAAGCAAGTTTGTTTTTAAAAAAAGAGTTAAAAATATGATGTATGTCTCTTTAGATCGGATGGTAATTACTTTACAAATACATGTTTATGAAGGATAACCCTGGTTACTTACTTTCATTCTTTTAACCATGTGCAGCCATTCCTTTCTGTCATCCTCATCCATCCATGTTTTTCTCCCCAGGTCGCTCTGATGGTCGCAGCTGAATTCTGGGAACAGGGTGACTTAGAAAGAAATGTTTTGGACCAGCAGCCAATTGTAAGAGCAGCACTCCTCCACCGCCTTTCTCTCTGCCTTTGTTCTGCGCTGACGTGAAAACATCTCACGCGTCTCTTTCAGCCCATGATGGACAGAAATTGTGCCGAGCAGCTGCCCAAGATGCAGTGTGGTTTCATCGACTTCGTGTGTGCGTTTGTGTACAAGGTAAAAAGAAAACAACACTTTTTATGCTCATTAAGAAAAAAAAAACTTGGGAGCTTGGGGGGAAAAAATGAGTATTGGTGAAGTGAGTCTTTTGTTGCGACACTTCATCCGCCTTTTGCTGGACTTTAAATCCACTCACGGGCAAAGAAGAGTTTCTAAATGTCATTCAGTGTCACTCAAYGTCGAAGCAAGAGAATAATGTTTACCTGTTTTTTTTTTGTGTGTGTTTTTATTTGTCAGGAGTTTTCCAGGTTCCACAAAGAGATCCAGCCCATGTTTGATGGTCTGAACAACAACCGAGCTCACTGGAACGAACTGGCAGAAGTYTATAATGCAAAGATGAAGGCTATCGAGGACCAGAAGAAGAAACTAGAAGAAGAAGAAGCTAGGAAAGGTAAAAGAAACATATACTTCACAAAATGTAAGGAAATTTGTGTTTGGTAGATTATTTCTTTGTTGTAACAATAAGAAATCTTAGAAGATTTGGCCAAATTTTATGTGAGCAACCTACATACTCAGCTCTACTGCTCAACCCACAAATGCACGTTCCTTACAAATGTGGCACCATTTCAAAGTGAAATAAACAGGCATTCCAACGGTGTACCATTTATTTCTAAGAAGTGTTAACAAAAAAATWATCTACCAAACACAAATGTGCTTACTTTTTGCGCTAGGTTTAATTGACATCACTTTTAAGAGCAGGCTGTACATGTTTCTTACTGTTATTTGCGTTTTTTGTCGTATTATTTTTAAGCTGGTGGTGGTGGCGAGGGCAAGTCAAAGACCTGCACCATCTGTTAGGATCCTCCGCTGCTTGGATCTGGACTACCTTGGTCTGTTTAGGACTCATCTAGACAGCACTAGTCATCTTCAGGACATCTCTTTTTTTCCCTTTTTTTTTTTGGATTTTTTCCCCTCCCTTCAGACTGGTGTTTGGTCTTTGCTACACCAGCTTTAGTTGTCTCCGGTTCACTTTGCTGCCCTCCAGTCTGACTGTTGTTCCAGATGGTTCTGGTCTAGTTTATTCAGCGTAGTTAGGACTGGTCTGCGTCGGAGTCTGGACCACACCGGCCGATCTTCGAAGAGGGAGAAAGAATTTAACAAGAAGTGATGCTGGGACTCTGCAAAGAGAAGATGTTTGGCTCTAACTGAAGAAATATATGAAACATTTCTCTGCTTTAAACATCATCATGGACATTTTTCAAAGCAGAAACAGTGGATCAGCATGTGTTTCCACTTAGCGTAGCAATAATCCGAACGTGTTTGGCATGATTTGATATCATGCTTTGATAAACTCATTATATAGACAGAATTGGTGAAGAATGCCTACATGCCAAAGCTGTAGCATTCAAACAGTGTTCTAATTTGCAAACATGAACACAACATGCAATAGCTCTGTAGGTCGCACAATGCACTCAGCTGCTGCTGTCTTAGCAGCGACAGACAGAAACAAGAAGGGAAGGCAGATGAAGAACATATCTTGGTATTGTAGTGGTGGCAAACTGTTAAAGATGGTTAAAGGTAATACTGAGGCATGGAGMTAATCCTTTTAGCACTTAAAAAGGGAAACTACTGTAATAGAACAGGGAGCGATGGMGCTTAAACCAATCAGGGACGATGTTTTCTCATTGTTAAAGAGGCACTCATAAGTCGTGCAAAAGGTATATTTATATTATTATGCAATTCATCTAAATATATTTTTTTGATTTATGGGCTATTTTGTACTTGAACTGTCTGCATGAGTGGAGAATTTGAGGTGAACTTTGAGAGAGGATGTTCTGAACCCGTGAACCGATGAAGTCACTGTCAGACATGAGGAATGTGTTGTAAAACTTTATGATCAGCTTCGGAAAAACACTTTTAAAGTGAGGAGTCAGACCTTTTGAAGTGGGGATCTGTGGAAGGACTATTAACAGTTTATATATTACCTGTTRTAGGTGGCCCTTTGACTGACCTCAGTTTGGAGAAATATAATTTAAGTTTGGACAGATTGATAAGCCAAGTCCAAGTGGGGACAAGACCATCGTAAGTTTCGTAGTGTTTTWAAGCAAACTCTAAATTTTACATTGTGAATACGTTTGCATTACATGGTTAGTTCTATACAGTTATGAGAAATAAGAAGCAATACAACAGCAGCTAGCTGTAGCACTTTGARCAGAATYATCATWAASTTTCTGTCTTTTTTTCTTTGACTAAAGTAGATTTCCAATCCAGTCAAAATCCAACATTTTCCAAACTGAGATCTAAAACGCTATCTACAACAAGTAAGATATTCATTAGTCATAACATTTTCACAAATCCTCAGTTCAGAAGATCTGAACTGTTTCATTAGGTTGTTTTAGCCGATAAATTGTGTAACATTGAACAGTGTTTAGCTCAATCTTACAGCTCCATTTTGTTCACAACTGCTTTTATTAAAGTACTTGAACATAGTTCAATACATAGAGAAAAAAAAACTCCAGCCTAAAAAAAAAACCCTGAAAGCTGGGAGAGCAACTTTTGCTTCTTTTCAGCAGGCAAGAGTCAAACGGTTCAGTAGATCTACCTCTCCTTTAAGAAGCTTTAACAGGATTTGATTGCCTGCCAGTGTTTAAGATCCACACAGCTTTAGACTTTAAATACCCTTCTTACAGAGGAGGTAAACGAGGCTAACACAGCCTTATCGTATGTATGTGCAAGACGAGCGGTGTTTGCGGAGACGGCRACTGTTGTTTCATTGATTGTACAATGGTACGGGCAAAGTTCTCTGCTTCTCTGCAACTTTGTGTGAAATCGATATCTTGTTTTGTAAAGCGCCCGGTCTGGTCAGGGCTGTGAGCTTACAGAGCAACACCGGGAGCACCCGTCTGTCCCTTTGGGGTAAAAAAGCAATGTCCTGTTATGCAACGTAGTCTCCTCCAATCAATGGGGCATCAATCAGAGGCATTTAATCCAATCAGCGAGGCTTTGGGTCTATGTGGAAGCTCCTTGTCTGCTGCCTGAGGTGAAGCGAGGAGCTGTTTGTAATCACTGGACAGAAAAAAAAAACTTTGATTTGTCTTCAATGATTCTGCCATGAATTTCCAGTGATAACAAAAGCCTCTAGCTTCTCCTTTTTTTGGATGCTGTGGTAAATGCAAAAATAACGCACCGTATCTTTGTCACTGAGACTTTAGAAAACTGTCATTTAATGTATGAAACGACTGTATTTATATGTCACTACTATCTGTAAGCATGTGTAGGAAGTCATGGAGGTGTAAAAAAGAAATAAAGTAACACTTTTTCTCATTATGAAAATCGTCTGGCTTTGATGGTGGAATTTACGCTCACGCACACGAGGGTTTGGACGGAGGGTGAACTCGAAGCATCCAGAGCTTCGCCGCGACAGGGCTCCATATATCGTGCGGGGATCTTGGAGGCTCCAAAGCTGGATGAGCCTCCGGGGGAAAGAGGATCAGTGGATTGATTCTCATCCCTGCCCGATTCAGTGCCGTTCGTCGCCGCGCTCCTCGGGGGCCCGTTTTTCCAATGTGTTCTGCGTAATGTAAGCTGCAGATTGAATGGTTTCGCGTCAGCGTTTTAACAAATTTAAGAACAGACAAACAATCTGAAACATTTTGCAGTTGTAAGCCTTGCAGGGGGGAATTTTTAAAGGAAACTGAGCAAGTCTGGATTTTTTTTTTTCCCGTGGCGAGTGAGTCTGCAGCTGGTTCACCCTTTTATCTTGACCCTTCATTCTTTGGACAATTTAGRGGTCAGTAAGGCCAAGAGCTTCTCCTCAGAGGTCCCCTTTTGTTTTTCTGTGCGGCTAGAAAGCCAATTTCACATCCATCCTCAAAAGAAAAAGAAAAAATAACAAAAGAGAGCAGTTGTCCATGCCCATAAGAAAAATGCAAGTGATTTTACAAGTTTGGAAGCTAAGACTTTGGCCTCAAAACTCCAAATCTGATTCAGTCTAAGATTATCCGGAAGAAGCATGCCRCACAGCTGATTGTTTTGCAGCTCCCGACGACCTTCCCATGAAGGCGCCGCTGCGCCACAGAACCGAGCGCTGCAAACTCCAGAGTCTAAACCTCCTTCATGTTTTGAAGTCAGTTTTGATTTGCCTTTTAAGCAATTCTATAAGGAGTTCTCTCTGAAACCTTTTGTTTTTACTTACCTGAACTTGTCCCCCGCTGTTCCTTTGAAGTCATTTGTTATCACATTACAGACGAGTAAATTCATWAAAAAAAAACCTCCCTTTTGATCAGTGTCCTCCCACACTGAGGAACGTCTCGTATTTTATTCTTCAGAACAAAAGGCGGCTGCTTCAATGAGCCCGTGGCTTCTTATTTGTGAAACATTGGTAGCTTTGAAACTTTACTTATCATGCTTTCTTAAGAACAACTGAACGAGAAGTATTCYTAAAAGTTCTGAAACCATGAAACGCAAAGTCAGTGCCCAAAGAAACCCCGGTTTGCTCAGATTGGTGAGCAAATGTAAGGGGTCGTTCTCAAGTCTCAACATTTTCATGAGTGTAAAAACCTACACTTAGGAGACCCTGTTTTCCCCACTATAAACACTGGAACAACCTCTGACTCATTGTRWTGGATCACAGCAAATAAAGACTAGAAATGCCAAACTACGCTTGAAGATAAACATTGCACACATTGTCACAGGGCTACCCTACATCCTCACTTAATTTAATAGATCTAGGTCCTGGAGGAATTTATTTAATATTTAATTTCCAAAAACCTTTCCTATGTTTGATCCACACAAGACTGAAGCTTTAACCAATGGTAATAAAAATCATTTAAAAAGGATTTATAATGTAACGGATTGAATTGTGACGAGTATTCTATTGATTTGTTCTTTTAGTTTTTTTATAGTAACTAATCAACAGGAGTTCTGTATAGATTTGATGAAGAAGCACTTTTTTTTCTGGGTCAAGACTTTTGTAGCTACTAATATAAAGTTATCATTCCTTATTTGTATACATCTGAAAATAGTTTAAAACTTATAATGAAGCAGGCTACAGATATTTATGATAAACTGCACAAATCTGACTCAGACACTGCTGCTGCTGTGTGTGTGTGTGTGTGTGTGTGTGTGTGTTGATCGGTCACCATTCTGTGTGTCAGCCTCTGATCACTGGCTGCTGATTGTTTGAAAAAAAAAAAAACTTTATCGCATGTGGTGTCATTAACACTGTGACCGCCACTCCTGGGACTGAACAACAAATGTATTACTGAGGGAATATTGGTGAGGAATGGGTTGCTGATCAACGTGTGGAAAAAAATAAGTAAATTCAGAGCTGCGGCGACAGGTAGCCGCTGTACGTGGGACTAAAACAGCAGGTTTACAGAGGGTAAAATAAGTATTGAGCATGTCACCATTTTTCTCAGTAAATATATTACTAGAGGTGCTAATGACATGAAATTTTCACCAGATGTYGGTAACAACCCAAGTGATCCATACATACAAAGAAATCAAACCATAAATGTCCAGAAATGAAGTTATTTGTAATAATGTGGAATGGCACAGGGAAAAAGTATTGAACACATGAAGAAAGGGAGGTGTAAAAAGGCATGGAAAGCCAMTGGAAGTTAATATCAGCTGGTTCAGTCCCAAATGATGGCCAGGTATCACACAAGAACCATCTGATGATGGGTAAAAGTAAAGAGCTCTCTCAAGACCTTCACAACCTTATTGTTGCAAAGCATAATGATGGCATCGGTTACAGAAGAATGTCTAAACTTCTGAAGGTTCCAGTGAGCACTGTTGGGGCCATAATTCAGAAGTGGAAAGAACATCATTTCACCATAAACTGACCACGACCAGGTGCTCCTCACAAGATTTCTGACAGAGGTGTGAAAAGAATTATCAGAAGAGTTGTCCAAGAGCCAAGGACCACTTGTGGAGAGCTTCAGAAAGACCTGGAATTAGCAGGTATGTTTGTTTCAAAGAAAACAATAAGTAATGCACTGAACCACCATGGCCTGTATGCACRCTCACCACGCAAGACTCCACTGCTGAAGAAACAGCATGTTGAAGCTCCTTTAAAGTTTGCTACACAACATTTAAACAAGCCTGTGTAATACTGGGAGAATATAGTCTGGTCAGATGAGACCAACATTGAACTGTTYGGATGCCAGAATACACATCATGTTTGGAGGTCAAATGGCACTGCACATCAGCCCAAAAACACCATACCAACAGTGAAGTTTGGAGGTGGGAACATCATGGTGTGGGGCTGTTTTTCAGCATATGGTACTGGCAAACTTCAAATAATTGAAGGAAGGATGAGTGGAAAAATGTACAGAGACATTATTGATAAAAATCTGCTTCCATCTACCAGGAAGATGAAGATGAAACGTGGCTGGACATTTCAGCAAGACAATGAGCCCAAACACAAAGCCAAGGAAACTCTCAGTTGGTTTCAGAGAAAGAAAATAAAGCTGCTGGAATGGCCCAGCCAATCACCTGACCTGAATCCAAYAGAAAATCTATGGAAAGAACTAAAGATCAGAGTTCATAGAAGAGGTCCACGAAACCTTCAAGATTTGAAGACTGTTTGTGTGGAAGAATGGGTCAAAATCACACCTGAGCAATGCATGCCACTAGTTTCACCATACAGGAGGCGTCTTGAAGCTGTCATTGACAACAAAGGCTTTTGTACAAAGTATTAGATAAATTTCAGTAAGTGTGTTCAATACTTTTTCCCTGTGCCATTCCACATTATTACAAATAACTTMATTTCTGGACATTTATGGTTTGATTTCTTTGTATGTATGGATCACTTGGGTTGTTACCGACATCTGGTGAAAATTTCATGTCATTAGCACCTCTAGTAATATATTTACTGAGAAAAATGGTGACATGTTCAATACTTATTTTACCCGCTGTATATTGACGATGAGCGACACAGCAACTTTGTAGTTAGTTTAAAAATGTTAAGCACAAAGAGAGTACCCCCCACACCCCAGCACACGGTTTGTACTCTTGTGAAAATGATGAAGACTTTGACCCGCCCCTGAGGAATCTCCAAAGTGACCAACTTTCACGCTGATGCACAAAAAATATTACAAAGATGTTTCATCCCGAATCAAAGCAGTGACGTGAGCCGTCTTTCAAGCACCCCAAGAGCCACGCCACGTCAAACTACTTTCAATTATTCTCACCGTGACGGTGGAGAAACTGAAACCCAGATGATGCCARCAATGTAAATAGATGAAACTGACAGGCGGAGGCAGGATAAACATTATGTTTATTTCATGCACACAAGACCCAAATAGAACATACTTAATGTCTGCGAGACATAAAAGGAAGTGTAGTCACAGCAGGGTTCCCACAGAYACCAGCAGATTCAAAGGAACATGTCTTCAAAGTACTCATCAAACTCTTCCTCCCTAAACAGATAAAACAACCAAAACACAGAATTGTCAGTTGCTGTCATGCTCAGTGCTGACGTAAACAATTGACTGGAGGGGCCATGATTAACTCATGACATGAAATAATCATAACAACCAACTGTGATACAAACAGTAAAATGATGTAAAGAAATTTGGTATTCAGACATTTTTTTAAAAGCAAACAGACCTAGGTTTGGTGACTTATGATTTCATGACGCTTTAAATGGCTTAATTTAAGATTTAATTGGCCTATATATTGTGTTAAACAGAAACTCATACACTAAGAGGCAACAGCGGTTTGTTAACCTCACCTTGACTTTTCCTCCACTGCAGGGGCGGGTCCTCGCCAGTGATCGGCTTCTGATTGGCCATCCGGCTTATTCCCAGCGTCGCTGTCTGTAAACAAAGTGTCAACGTTTTTAAATCACACCTTAAAGAAGGAAAAACTCAGTCAATGTGTAACAGCTTCCATTATTGTCAGATCTGCCATTTAAGTTTGTCGGGACATTTTGAAGAATGAAAATTTGTGACGATTCAAACCCAATCAAATCCTTGATCTCTGATCCCAGATGCCAATATTATTGAAACGAATAACATTCACAGGACTAACCTACCACCCAGGATGTGGAGGCAAGAAGAAATGCAACCCCAGGTTAATCAGACAAAAAGTGCAGATGGTAGGAAAAAAATTTAGATCAGGCCCAAGTCAAGGTCTGTCACTTTCTGATCGCATCATCAGTTGCATTTTGAATTATAATAAAGTCCATGGACAAGGACCGAGGAGGGTTCTACTACTGCCAAGACACGCAAAAAAGCTGCATGTTGATAAGAAACAAAATGTTTAAAGTTGAAGAGACAAAACTGTAACATTTTGGACAGGCATGTGACTTTTGTTTTGTTTTTTTGTGGAAAGGGATGATAAATTTTGTATGCATTTTGCTTTTTTACCTAGCTTTTGCTTTTTTAGCTAGCCTTTTGCTGTTTTTAGCTAGCCTTTTGCTGTTTTAGCTAGTCTTTTGCTGTTTTTATCTAGCCTTTTGCTTTTTCAGCTAGCTTTGTGCTTTTTTAGCTAGTCTTTTGCTGTTTTTAGCTAGCCTTTTGCTGTTTTAGCTAGTCTTTTGCTGTTTTTATCTAGCCTTTTGCTGTTTTTATCTAGCCTTTTGCTGTTTTTATCTAGCCTTTTGCTGTTTTATCTAGCCTTTTGCTGTTTTTATCTAGCCTTTTGCTGTTTTTATCTAGCCTTTTACTGCTTTTATCTAGACTTTTACTGTTTTTATCTAGCCTTTTGTTGCTTCATCTATAGCCTTTTACTGCTTTTATCTAGACTTTTACTGTTTTTATCTAGCCTTTTGTTGCTTCATCTATAGCCTTTTACTGCTTTTATCTAGCCTTTTACTGTTTTTATTGAGCCTTTTGTTGTCTTATCTAGCCTTTTGTTGTTTTAGCCTTTTACTGCTTTTATCTAGCCT